GAAAGGACCATTCACTCAAATTAAATATTACAAACAGAAGATGTACCAATGGACAACTCAACTTAGTGTTGCTCAGTCATATTTAACTAAAATTCTTAAACAATGAAAAGCTTCCAGAAAGATATTTGCAACCTTCAACGCTTTAGAGTTTTACTTTGACATTATTAACATAAATCAACATAAAAGGCAAGGATTTTATATGAAAAATAAATTGAACATGATTTTGTTGTCAAACCTACCAGTCCAATTTGGAATTCACATCCAAGGAAAATGTTGATTCTATTGGTGTCATAGCCGCCTCTGCAGTCTGTAATTCCAGAAAGCCCAGTCAACTGATCAGTGCATTTCTTATACAACAAAGTAACTGTGAAGCTGTCTCAAAATCTTAAAGGAGTCAGACCTGACTTTTATGAGGAGACTAATGTATGTAGGGTATGATAATAGGTAATTATTTTTCATAAAAAAAATGGTAATTATAATTTCATCTTTAATATTTCTACCACTTTTCAATTGAGCCTGTGACTTTTTTAGAAGTTTCAAATTTATTCTCTATGTGTTAAGCTTCTCCAATCAAGTTCTTACAGTAAGTAAGTTAAAATTCATTGATACGAGTGGATTTTCATTCTTCTTAATGAAATCAGTCATCCTATAAAAAAAAAAATTAATAATAATAACAAAGTGAATGTGACATTAAAGTATCGATTTTTAACTAGTTTAGTACTACCTCATGTTTCAACTGAATTAGTTGGATATGTTCATCCATAAAATAATTAAAAAAAAAAACACTACACATTTTACATGATTCTACCCATAATAATTTATCCAGCCAAAATGTTATTGTAGCAAATGGAATCATTAAAGAATACAACAATACCAACAGTCGGCCATCTCAGTAAAAATTACCATCTTTAATTTCCACATCTTCATTCATTCAGCGTTTACTAAAAGTAATACATAAAGGATGAAAATTGAAAATTAAAGAAAGAAAAAAGAAAAAACTGAATTGAACATGGAAAATGGAAAATGGAAAATATATTAGGGATGAACACATATATTTAACCTTAAATTTATATTGAAAATACCAGGCCAAATTTGGTCATATGAATAATACATATGACCAGAGACAAAAGCAGTGGTTGATAATATAAAACTTAAAAAGTAACTACTATCCGTAAATCCATGAATTTTTCAAGGGTTCCTTTAAATTATGACTTAAGAGAGGAAAAACATGTAGACTAGTTAAATTAGATCAGCCTTTTATTCATGTTCTACATATGTGCCATCAGAAAAAAATATAGTCTCATACCACACTAAAATGCAGGAATTTTCCTAATTCAAAGTGGCATGAAAATAAATATGATGTATAAGTTATGACATGCAGAAATCGAAATATTAGAAGGCTCAATTTGTAAGAGTAGATACCTTTTCTGTCAAGTCAAGTGCCCCACTGATGATGGTTGTCTCATTATGTGTGAGTTCACCCCCCTTCCCAGCCTAAATAAAAAAGTAATTTGAGGACCATTTCATAACAAATCCCTGAAACTTTTCTCTTAACCAAATTCAGCACCATTTCACAATATTGCAGTACGCTACTTATTCTTTGTCCAAACTAGAATATGGCTTATTATTATACATCATACAAGCTTCAAATGCTAGCATATCATATTTCTTGTTACCTCTTGACCATGGATAGAAACAAGCGCTTTCAACTGTGCTCTCCTAAACAAAGCATCATCATGTCCAAGTACCGCATCCAACACCTATAATGAAAATATAGGTCAGTGTAAAGTAACACATAACCTACTGTGGATCTCTCTAATCTAAAAAACACAATCATCTCCTTTCCAAAAGATTTAAGACAAAAAAGATAGCAAAAAAGAAGTTACAAGTTCATTATTGTTGCTTGAAGTTGAAGATGAATAACATGAATATTTTAGGGTTAACTTTTTCATTCTGCAAAAGTCAAGTACATTTTAGGAACCAAAGAAGAAGCATATGATGCTTTGTATTTTAAGTTTATCATCGATTCATAGGTCGCTATGATTCATGGGCTCAGATTTTAAGACTTTACTTTATTCAGTAACTCTCATTCTCTGATAATTGATATCATGATTATCCTCATATAATCAACCATCATGAAATTTACAGAATAATCAATCTCGATTCTCCAATCAGAGGAAAGAAAAACATCTAGAAAAAAAAGTAACAGAAGGCTATTAAAAGCAAAATCTATGCTTTCTTGTTTGCTTCATGACCTTTCGGAGTCAGTTTATGATTAGAGTGGAGAAGCATCAGGAAATATAACGCAAGTATCATCCATTTGCAAGCATGCACAAGAGAATATGTTTAATACAAGAGAAATAAAAGAATATAGCAGTAGCAGCAGCTCTCTGGCTGCTAACAGGATATTGAAGGAATGTGGAATTTTTGGCGATGTCTAATCTTGAGAAAATCACGTGTCCACACGATCATATATGTGTCCATTAAAGTAAAGATATGCCGCCTACTTCAAATGTTACCTTTCCAACAGGGTATGAAATTGGATAACAAATGATCATCAGAATACGCACTAGCCATACAAAATTTGCACCAACAGCAAGTCCGTATCTGGAGCATATTGCTTGTGGAATAATCTAGTAAATAAGGAAAATTAGACGCAAAGTGGGACACACTTGTTGTAGAACGAAACATATTGTGAATTGGAAAGAAACATTACCTCGCCAAAGGCAAGAACAAAGGTTACAGACAGAAAAACCGCGACGAAGGGGTGGAAGATTTTATCCAGGTATATGGGAAGAGCCTTCAAGAAAAAAAATAAATAAATAAATAAACGAATGAGGAATAAGAAAAGGCATTCATGCTCGTAACCAGGGGACCAGAAATTGAAAGTCAACCCCATTGTATGGATGTGGATGGAGAGAAGAGACGAAAAAAGGAAGTAGCAATTAGAAAGTACCTCCATGGCACAAGCATTACAAAGCAGGAGGGTAACGAGCAATTGGTGCTGCTTGTGGAGCACTGGTATAATAGTAGCTGCGCAGAGGGGAAGGCAGTGAGTGATGAAATAGAATTAGAGAGAGAGAGAGAGAGAGAGAGAGAGAGAGAGAGAGAGAGAGAGAGAGAGAGAGAGAGAGAGAGAGAGAGAGAGAGAGAGAGATATGGGGAAGGAGCGGACCAGCATGGTTTTTCTGGGTGGAAGTACCGGTACGTTGAAGGATTTCGAGGTCGACGAGGTTGAGGGACATCAAGCCCAGGGTAAGGCCAGACATGATACCGGCGAACAGAACGAGGACACAGGAGAGGCCAGCGTAGAGGAACCAGCATGCAGTAGGAAACGGAATATCGTCGCCCACGCCCACACCAACCTGCTTGTTCCTGGCGCTGGCTAGTGTTGTTAAGGTATCGAGGAACAACATTGCCGTCTGCCGAAAGAAAGAGGGACAGAAAGGGAAAGGAAGAGGAAAACGCAGTATCAGAATCGGGATATTGGAATGGGTTCTGTGGACTGAATAACGCTTCTGATTTTGTCGTATCTTTGCGTTTGTGGTGCGGTGGTGGGCAGGGGCAGGTGGGGAAGATCATCTGCCCCTCCGATTCCTCATTCCACGTGGACCGGACTTCAGGCCAGGCAACAGTGACTCCTGTTGTAATACTAAAATATCACCAACTTGCATTTGACCTCGTGTCTTTGGCTCCTCCCACCATCGGCACCTACCTGTGGCTGCCTCCTGAAACTCCAAATGCAATTGCAAGCTCAACCTGATGTGTGTCTTCCTTTCCTCTTTCTAATGCTTAAACATTTGAATTGTATCAGCCCAAAGATAAGGCAACGGATTTAATATTGGGGCATCTATGTTTTGTTAAAAACTCAAAGAGGAGAATGTGAGGATAAAAACAGACAAGTGTGAGCAACGTCACACACAACACACCATTTAGAACCTTTTGTAATATAACACACCAATATTACCTGGCAACAATTAGGTGCTCATTGAAAAGGGATGAGGCATATAACATCAACTATTTGGTACCTAAACAAATTAGCTCATCTTCTTTATCAGTTCTATCCTTTTACCATTTTCATATACCCCACAACAAGAAAACCAATTAGAATTAACCGACCCCTTGAGATGCTGGGTTCTATATAAATAGAATGAACCAACCGCCGACAAAGTCAAGAAACAAAAGTGACTGAGTTGTGTTACAATCGGAAACAGATGGGGAGGTTCAAAATTGCTCACCTATTAGCAGCATTGTGTGTTTTAGTTCTGATACCCCAAATGGAGGGGCAAGCATGGTCACAGCCGTCGCCGTTGTTGCCTCCACGTCCTCTATGTTCTTCACAATTTGCACTGGCGAGCTATGCATGTGCGAGGCTGCCTTTGAACCCAGAACCCATTCCAATTCTTCCGCCTCCTTCGCCGGTGGATGAGGATGGACACGGGCACGGGCACGGGCACGGGCACGGGCACGGGCACGGCCATCAGCACCAACACCACCATAGGCGCCGCCACCACACCCACTCACCGGTGGCAGAGGAATGTTGTCGATGGGCGAGGGAGGTGGATAGCGAATGCGTGTGTGACGCATTAATTCACTTGGCCAACTTCCTGATTCGACCCTCTCATGCATTTACCGTCGCCATCACAGATGATTGCATTGTCACTTACTCGTGCAATGGACGAATCAAGATTTGAAGCACACCACTTTGCGTGTTCAATTACACATTTCGGAACACGTAGCCTGGCTTTATTCATCGCAATTAATAAATACATTTTTATGTTTCTAGTTTCTACTCATTTCTCGCCCTCGAATATGTAATTCAAATTTTCCATGTCAATTTTATTAGTGATGAAGATGATAACTAACGAAACTCCAGTTTATCTTTCTTTTCGAGAATATAATTTTTTTTATTTAAAACAAATAAATAAACAATCGCAGTCATGTTAGCCCATTGGAATTGGGGCGAAACTTAGATACGTGGGCTAAAGTGGCCCAAAATGAAGAAGGAGAGTAATTGCATGAGAATTAAGATACAAATGCCGAATGCTATCACATCATCATTTACACACCCTTCTCACTTCTCTTTCCCAATGCATTAATCCTAACTACCATATCAACATTGAACAACAATCAATCAAATTTAGTGAGTTGGTGAATCAACCACCCAATTGACTTTCTTAATTCCCAAACTGAATTAACAAAAAGCAGCTTTTAAGAATTGATTCAAATATCTTAAAGAAATTTTCCTACACGCATAAGAGGATCTCACATTGCATCTAACTAATTAGAAAAATATAAAAACTAATTGCATATATTGCCAATTGCCACTCCATCAACTACAATTTTTACACACCAAGAGTTAGAGTGGTGCTCCATCGCTTCTATGATCGCATCTCAATTTATTTGACTCAATGGGGTAAGGGAGCAAGAGACGGTGATTACTAATGCCCATCTTTTATATATTTTCTTCTATACATTACGTATGACAAAAGGTTTTGGTGTCATGCATCATATATAGTTGACTTTGTATTCGTTCTCTGTAGCTTCTCAGCACGTACAAGCTAAGTTTCAGGCATATGACAATGTAATGTGTGCAAGTTTGGTCGGAATATAAGAGATAATAAATGGAGTGTCAAAAACTACATTGCTATGATATTCCTCCATCTCACTTGCATGGTCTTTTCCAACTTCAACTGGATGCTACAGATCAACATAACTATTTTTTTTCAGTGTTACCAAGGCCGTACCTGGTACCTGTTCTTTCGGTTCATTAACAAGGCCTACATACTTAATAAAGCAGAAGCAGAATTGTTGCACATAAGATGATAAGAATGTTCAGGTTGATTATACGGTTCAGCATGATCCTTCAGCAAAATCCATGGGCATCAAAAACAGGCCCTTGTTCTCCAGTAGCTGAGCTGCAGCTGACGGGTCAACTTCCAGCAGTTTTCCCACCATCTCCTCAAGTGGTTCGCCCTGCATCTCTTGATGGCTCATGTAGTGACCATATCCCTACCAAAAAACAATGATACAGGAGCTTCTATTTTTCATCCAAAAATATTGAAATATGTAAAGAATACTAGAAAACCCTACACGAGTACTGCTGAACGAACTTCCCAAGAGAAAAATGAAAATGAAACGTTAAAACCAAGTATGTGTTGATACCTCAACGAATCTAAAAGGCTCAGAAGATGATTCTCCTCCTAGTTTGCTCTGACTCAAGTCCTGCATGACCGTATAGATGCTTTAGGCCCTTAGTCTCTTCCACACCCACAACATCACTCTATCATTATATGTTAAGATATTTCACAGTATTGGTCTGCTTATAGAACTATTTACACTATAACTACAACAAAAACATAGTAAACAAGCATCTTAAGCTTTAACTTGCTCTGCTATAGATGATATAGTCTTTGGGTGGCCTCTACAAGCAAAAGACAATATAGCTGGCCCTTATTTCTCAACGACATGCCGCACTATTCCTACTAGTTAATAGCTAACTATATCTCTTTACAAGTCCCCAATATTTCAGATTGACGCTCATACGATTCAAAAGATTAAATCCAGAAATGATATATTAAACATCTTCAACACTGTTGACGCAAATTCTTATCAACATTACCACCATATGGATCTCTCTCTCTCACCAACATCCCTTCGAATGGGCTAAGAAGACCCAAGAAGCCAACAAGCTACAAAGAGAGTCTTACCAACATATGGATCAGAATTACACAAATATGATTTCCCCAAACTGTAAAGCACCCTATAACGTGCAAAACAGAGCAAAAGCCAGGCCGCCTACCTTTATTTGAAGCTGTAAGTGCTTTACGTGGTCAATAACATCATCCAAAACAGATGCTTGATTTCCCTTAAAAACCAAAATTAAAATGGATTTAAAGAAATAGTCAGCCTATACTGCGGGTAGAGAAATGGAAAGTTCAAGAGATAAAGCATTCAATCACTTTCATCCTTTGACAGCCGAATGGTTCAAACATGTCTACTCATTGCATTTGTACAATGATAAATATTGAACAGTTTCAAGCAAGTGCTTTGAAGATCTTTTGGAATTTTGCTCCTGCACTTATTCCTTATAAAAGTTCATGCTAGTCTATGGCATAATGACACACAAGTTTACCTTTGAAGACTGAGGAAGAAGTTCCTGCAATGCTTCAAGTCTTTCAGCTATCCTTATCCTGCGTTGCTGAAATAAGAAGGTATGTTAAACAGGTTAACTTGGCCCCAAGGGATAACATCCAGTCCTGTTAACTGTTAAAAGTAAAATTATAAATAATTAAATAAATAGAATGGAATCACCACTAATTTGTGTCTTCACTTCGGATGATTAAATAACATTGGTTTGTTTATATTTCACACTTATGGTTTCACATTTCTGCTCCTTTTCTAAGTAAGCATTGTAACAGAAAAATTTAGGCGTTTAACCAGAAGGGGTTTGGCTTACGCGATCAGTTGAATAGCCTCTTCGACTTGATGAACTGGAACGTGGTTTGGATAGTATACCTGGTGCCTTGTTCTGCTCGGAAAGGCACTTATTAGGATAAAATGGAAAAATACAGACAGTGGAGTAATCGAGTAAGAAATATTGATTAAGCTGCAAATATGGTTAACATACATTGTGCCCAAAACTGAAAGCAGAGCACCTGAGGTGACATTAGCCAATAAATATTGATTAAGCTACAAATATGGTTAATTTACATACAGCGCAAAACTGAAAGCAGAGAACCTGAGGTGATATTTGCCTATATCCTTATGTTTACAAGATCTATATTGACTTCAGACAGTAACGCTGGTGACATTTGCATATAGGTTAAGCTTGGCACTGATCGACTTTACCTTGCGTGAATCGGTAGGTTTCGAACTGTCTGAACCTGTGGGATGATTGTATGAAAATTCTCCATGAATCTCAGAGACTCCATCAACAGCTTCAATAGTACTGAAAGGAACGTTTGCTAACATCTCTTTGGTAGACGCCTTTCTAGAAAAGTTTGAAGTTTCAGCAATAAACTCAACAAAGGTGGGAGTTGTTTTCACATTTTGTGTCCACTCAGTTAAGAGGGGGAAGTTGGTTTGGTTTACACTCCTATCAGCAGGTAAAACATGGTGATGGTTTGTACAATCTCCTGGTACACGGGAAACAATGTTGACATTCGCACCAAGTTTCACTGAGAGAATTTGTACAGAGTTGTTGCAGCCATTTTGTCCTTCCATTTTACCTGGGTCGTGACTTCTAACCTTAACAAGTCAAAATGAGTCAGTCCTGAAACTGAAATACTTAAAACAAGAATAAAACAATAACTGGCCACGCTTCAGTACTGCTACAACTAAACTAGGAAGCTAATGCTTGCTTAGAATGTCTTAAAGATGCTTCAAAAAGTCAATTCATCCTAAAATTAATACAACCGAGAAGAATGAATTGTCTGAAGTCACCATTGTTTGAGCAATTAAGAGGAAACTAGTAATCGATTACAGAGACCTGGAAATTCTTGGACGCATAAATGTCTCACCTTAGACCAACCCATTCTATGGAACTTGAACCTAGACCAACTCCACATAAGTCGCAAAGTACATTGATCCTACCTGAGTACCAACCAAGAGGTCTTTGAAAATTCATCGCCACAAGAACTTATGAAATGAGCATTTTCCCCATATTTTCCATTTCTTCGGAAGTATGATGTTAACTAGAAAACGTAGGGGCCGGGTTTTCATGAAGAAAAAGAACGCGGCAGGGCATAGCTACACTAAAGAAGATGCTGGAAGCAAAGTCACCGACAAATAGCAATATGGGTCGCATAGAAGCTTTAAGAAAAGAAAAAGGGAAAATCAAGAGGAAAAATTAGCAAAGCACAGAGGAAGAAATGTTAAAGTTAATCACTACCATAACCAGTGCCCAGATGGAGAAAATAAACAAACAAGGAAAAGAAAGACAGGTTCTAAGTAACAGGTCTTCAACTAGAACTGAAACGAAGGAAAATGCAACTAAGCATCAGGACTTCATTTTTTAAACTTTCTGAATCGGAAAGCTGAAAACATAAAACACCGCGATTACCACGCAGAAAAAAGACACCAAAATACTCATCTGATTGAACCATGAGAAAGTTGGGGGAAATACAGAGTTGGAGCGTTGAGCGAATGTAAAATCCAGCACCACCATATAACTAGGTCCAACTTCCTCATCGATGTTTAAAAAGGATTCAACTAAGATTTATTACTACTACAAACAAAGATGTGGTGTGCAGCTATTACACAATGCTAATGTTACGCAACGAGAAAAAAAGATGTAAAAAACATAACGATGGAAAGAAAGGGGCCTCACGGATAACAATGGTGAAACCGGGAAGACGAGGGTCTGAAGGGAAAGACGAGAGGAAAATGGCAACAGCCAACAGCAGAGCAGAGCAGAGCAGAGACAGAGAGAGAGTTGAGGGAACGACGCGGGTAGCTAGTTCTACTTCTACCTACGTGCTGGTTCCGGGCCGGCAAACCAGTACGTAATACCACGACAGGCCCACTTCTTTTTCTTTTTTTGTTTTATAAGCTTGGGTAGGGGTAGGAGTGTCATTTCATTTTCCATCCTTTTATTCTTTTTATTTTCATTTATACCCCCATCTACTTTGTCAAATTGCTAATTCTTACACACCGCAGCACGTACATATTTCCTCGTCTCCCGCTTCGTTTCTCTGTCTGAAGTTTGAAGCCCTACATTGTGTGTTTCCTCTGTTATCATGAAGCTCGTCAGGTATGCGCTTTTCTTTCGTTTCCTTTTATTCTTCTGGGAGACTCTTCCGTCTCGATCTTGTTCACAACGTTGAATGGTCGCTTTTATGTTTAGAAACTTGGTCTTGATCTTGATGTATCCGCAGGTTTTTGATGAAGCTCAACAATGAGACCGTCTCAATCGAACTCAAAAATGGAACTGTTGTCCATGGCACTATCACAGGTCTCAATCTCTCTTTTTCTCACAAACACGCTCACTGCATAAACACTTTCTTGGTCTTGTTAAACCCTAGATTTAGAGACTTGCGGGCAGAGCATTTATTAAACTTCAACTGCCGTTCTGTTTTATGCTCTATATCCCTTTATCATTGGAAGTTGTAGAACATTTCAGTCCAAAGGGATAATTGGAACTTCGATTGTTACTGTCAATTTCGAGTGGTTCATGATATACCATCTGCTCTCTAGTCTTGATAACCTTGGACTACGTAGATTTCTATCTGCAAGATTGCTGCTAAACTTCTAATCTTGATCTTTCTTTAGAAACTACGTGTGCCTGTTTTCTTGCGGTGGCTAATAGTAAATTGCTACCCGAAGTCACTCCCAGGTTCAGTCATCCGCCCGTGTATAACTCTCGTATTTCTTGCAACTTACTCAACGGATATCTCCCGACATATGTTCCGGCAATTTTGTAGGTGTGAAAGCCAACAAAAAGGTTCTGGCAAGTGCACACTCGGAGAACCACGAACGTGCTCCCAATTTTAATTTTAATAAATGGTATTAAACTCATGGGTACCTTTCAGGAAATTGAATTCCTTTCCTTCTGGGTGTCATCCTCCCTCTCATCTTTAATAAAGAAATATGGTAACTTCTTATCAAAAACAAAAAGATATGGCAACTCAGGATTTGTTTTAAATCCTTTATTAATAGAGGGAATGAGTTCAAAACATAGTCGTCACCTACCTAGGGTTTAATAACTTATGAATTTCTCAGACGGTTCTCCCATGAGATTAGTCGAGATATGCGCAAGTTGACGTGGAAGCAGACGCTCATGGATGTAAGAGAAAAAAAATAATACTACTGATGATGCTTAATATACATGCATTATTTTCATCCCATTACATATCAGTAAATCTAAACAAATGTTTAGAATGTCTCCTCACATTTTTTGTGGAAACTCCTACACCAGCAGCGAATGACTCCAACAGTTCCTTCTCTTTCCCCTGAAGTGTACATACTTCAACTTTAACTTGAACCTTTTTTCACCTCCACTAGCATAGTAGGGACTCAGTCCCAGAGTTATTACATTAACTTCTTCCGAACTCCAGCATTTTGGGTTGTGTAGCCAATATGAGATTTGGTGAATTATGATTTTTTTGGATCACAGAGACTGTATTATAAACAAAAGAGAATAAGCCGGGTAGAGAAAACTTCTTCCAAAGGAGCTACAATAGAAGAGATTTCCAATTAGAGTTAATCATAAGAAGATTGTAGTTAATAAAGGGGTTTCTTGCATTTGGAATGCCACCAAGGAGGAATGTGTTGTACACCATTACAAGAGAAATACCTTTTGGTGTAGGTTTCGCCATCTATCCTTGTGGTTCCACTTCCACCCCTTAGATGCCAACCATCACCCTCCCCCATGGATGAATCTCCATAACTATTTATGGGGGTGGGGGGCATTTTGTATATCTCTACACTACTAATGAGACTAGTTATTTGTTCATGGTGAGCGTCTTTCTTTACTTGATGTTTTTATGGAGAGTTAAGACTCAATGCCATAATTTTAGTTTGTTACATTTTCTGTTGGAGGATTTCACTTGAGACTTTAACTGTCTAAATGCAGACAATATGCTTGAACAACCTATAATACTCTTATGCCTTGTAAAATCTTGTTTTGACCATGATACATAGTAGCATCTAAATTTTGTGTTGATAAGAAACAGAGAATGTATTAGATCACAAGAGCATATAAAAAAGAAGGGTAATGAGATATCCCATAAAACCTGAGGTTACAAAAAGGCTTCCCAGTGGGCAAAAATATGCAAATGCTCATAATTACAAAAATCTTCAAAAAGAAGACCCCTAGATGATGTGTGGACCTTAAACGCTCTCTGAGCTAGAGTAGATCCCTTTAAATTTTCTCCAATTTCTCTCAAACTGCAAACGCCGAAAGAGTAGCATTACATTGGTGCACAAAGTTCTAGTAGGACCTTTAGAGATTGGGACCTAGGAGCAACTGGCCACAGAAGCATTTAAGTTACATGATTATGCTACATGTTTCAGTTGTTTTCAACAATTACTTCTAAAACATGCGGTATTTAGATGACCACCACGGAGATTGGCACCACATCATTGCAGCTGTTAAGTTTAGATGTGGTCTCTTCAAGGACACTGCATTCATTAAAAAAAAAAAAGACATTGACGGGTTGATTTTCTTGTATTATTTAGGCGTGGATATTAGCATGAATACACATTTGAAGGCTGTGAAGCTTACTCTGAAGGGGAAAAATCCAGTTACCATGGATCATTTAAGTGTGAGGGGTAACAACATCAGATATTATATTCTACCTGACAGCTTGAATCTTGAGACTTTACTTGTTGAAGAGACACCCAGGGTCAAGCCCAAGAAACCAACTGCGGGTATGTATTGTCCTTGCATTCTGGCCTATACTTTATGGGCATTTCCTGCAAGTCAATTTGTTTTATACTGAATTATATACACATTCATTATCATATATGTTGCTGATATATTTCTCCACTCTGCTGCAACTGTAGGAAGGCCTTTGGGACGTGGGCGGGGACGTGGCCGTGGTCGTGGTCGTGGGCGTGGACGCTAGATTTGTTGCAGTTGTTCCAATTTTTGTGTCCCGTAGTGTAAACACTTGTATTGTAGGGAAAGTTTATGAATTTAGTGACGTGGAGAAGTGGTATAGCAATTCCCTGTCCAATCTCATCATTTTTACAATGCTATCTAGTTTTTTTTCCTCCGCTATTAGTGATTTACTCTAATATCATCACAGTGATCAAACTCAGCCATGTGTTTAGATTGTTATCTCATTTTTTTACTTTCAACTCCGAAAGATGTTATCATGCAGTGGTTGAGTTGGTTACGATGAATATCAACTTGTTTCATATGCTTGCCATCGACAAAATATTAGTAAGACTCTAAACACTAAGCTTCAGCTTTGGTCCTGCCCGTTCTTGAAGTTCCCCTCGAAGTTGGTTCAGGTGCAAGGAAATAATGGAAAGTACAAATAATAGGAGAAGCTTAACTATGTGAACCCTCTGCTCCATATTCAATTGAAAGAGAGTTTTCAGTTTTATGGTTCTTGTGTGTCTCATTACTGTCCTTAGAGTAGTGTTATATTGATATTTGTTTCGTTATGATTTAGAGGGGGGAACTCGAGAAGTGCAAATTAAGACTCTGTTTAATCAATTCAAAGTATGTCCTCACTGAGACTTAGCACACGAGACTTTGTAGCCCACCCCTATGTTGTTGAAATAAGACTTGTATTTCAAAAGTAGGTTTCATTTTTTAAAATAAAAAATCGTGTAAAAACATGTTGGAGAGTATTACTTCTACTTTATGGGTATGCAATGTGAACGGATGAAAGTATAGAAAATAAACAGATTAAATGGAAGCAGAGGGGTTATTATTATTATTATTATTATCTATTTTATTTTCATTTCAGAAACTTATAGGCATCGCACTCACACGAGTCCAAAAAAATTTGTACTAGGTCTTCATAACAATTTCCGTGGTTTTAAGACCTTGGACTAACTGACCCTTGTTTCATGGGTTCCCGCTTCTAACATTTTCTTCGTCGCTACGCCAAGGGAAGGTTTCTGCGAGACCTAGCCCTAGCGAACTCAGTCACAAGAAGAAAAATGGGAAAAAAGCCGTCCGGGACCAAGCAAGCATTTGTTCTCTTCGGAGCTTTAGCGTTGGGTTGGCTCGCCATAGAGATGGCTTTCAAGCCCTTCCTCGATAAGGCGCGCTCGGCCATGGACAAGTCTGATCCCACTCGGGATCCCGACGACCTTGTCGATAATCTATCTGATCACAGGCCATCCGATGACGATGAATCTACCACTGCTTAAACTAGCAATTGGAAGGTACGAGAGAGTCGGATAATAGTGTAGTTTGTCGCCGTCATCTTGTGTATGAGAACTGGAATCTTACATATTTCCATACCGTATAAGGTCAGTACTGGACCATTTTAAATTCAATTGAAGTCCTTCAGCTTTTATAATTAGTGCTTCTAAAGTCTGGTTCCTCGTTTCCGAATGTGCTTGAATTCCTAATCAATTCCACAACTTCCACCTCCTGTAACTCTAGCTAGAAGCCTGTAGCTGGAGGATGTGCGGGTTGCGTATTCGAGGAATGGTTTAAGAGAAATAAGTGGTTAACCTTGTTCAATGTGGTGGGTTTTTGACAATGCAGCTTCGCGTTGCAAATTTATGTTTTGAAATTAACTAAATCAGATGCTATGCTCATGGGGTTTCTCATTTGCAAAATTTCAGAGGCGAAACGCCCTCTTTATAAAATTTGATTAGACTGGTAGAAACAAAAAAAAAAAAAAAATATTGTGTTGAAAATCACATTCTATCGTGGCCACGAGAGAGTTGATGATTAAATCAGATGCTATCAAATGTTAGTTGGGTGATGGATCTTGTCCATATCATCATAATGTTGGAAAAAGTTGCCGACAAATTATATTAGGTAACAAAACTGACTAAAACCGAGTGTTTGACAGGATAATGATGTATCTTTGTGAAACATTCTTCGGTGGCCTAGCTGCACGGTCAACCCGGGGTTGATTGATACCAGTTGCATCCTCCTTCTTTGGTTTTAATATCAAGATTCATTTTTAATCTCTAAACTTATTATATTGACTAGCTTTTAATGCCATTAGATGCTGATTATGTATCGCCACATCCCAATTGTTGGTGTTGACCTTAAGATAAATGGTAGTGAGATGGATTAATACGACTTCACACATGATCTAGATGACTCATCGCAACTCTAAAGATTAGTCGAAGATTGATGGTTAGCAGTTCAATTTGAACAGTTTTTATAGCTCTACCAATTGTCGGATGGAATAGAACCAACTTGGATATAATAGGATCCATCCATGATCGAACTGAGGAACAAGAGCACAAGTAGTTGTACAAATGATTATGTATAAAAGAGTGTCAAGTGTTTGTATCCTACTGTTTTATTATACAAATGGTGTGCATTTTTCAGATCAACGATAGGCTATATGCGGCTTTCTACTACTTTTGCAAAGTATAAAGAAATCACTACACTATGGATATTATTTGCCAACTATGACTTCTTTACATACTATTGTGCTCAGCCGTTTGCTAATTTGGTCATCACTTTGAACTCTCTGGTATAAGTTGACAGTACAGTAGGTTTGTCTTGGAGTGAGTATCGCATCCTTGTGTGGTAAATGAATGATGCTGGGTTAGCATGTGGTTGGTTAGTTGTCATTCTCACTCATCATACATCCCATACAAAGATATTTAAGGGAGGGACCTATCTATGATTCTCGGTTGACCATCAAATGTTCTCAAATCTCAAACACTTCTTTACATGAGGTTTACTCGACCACGTGATTTAATTTTGTCCATGTGGATTGTGGAGGTCAAAGGTGTGAAATTTTCATAGGAAGGGGCAAAAATGTTCATTTAAGCTTTTTTGGTATATTAGTTCTCAATTCTAAAAACTTAAAATCTTAACCTTTTTCAACAGTGTTTTTAATCCAAGGCAAACCAGGGGTGCCTTTGGCTTTAGTTGGAAACTTAGCAGACTGCTGGAGAAGTTTAGAATTAGCTTTTGTCTTAGATTATCAGGTCACCCAGGTGAATGCGTTGCCTATGCATAATTGCTGGAAGTGAAGGTTTTGCAATAGCAAAATGCTTCTGAGGCTCTTGAGCTCGCTCGTTAGACCTGAAGTGCAATTATTGTCGAAGGAGAGGACCATCTTGGTTTTCGTTTTACTTTCCTCTTCGTAATGTTCTATAAGGAATTCACCTTACCGGGTATCTATCAGTGGCTTAAAGCCCATTCTGTGTGTTGGATTTGAAATCAAAACCTGTAGAGTACTCTGTTAGGAACCCTATGGGTTATTCCATAGTGGAAATCAAAGGCCGTTGATTATTTGCACCACGTAGTTGTGAGTTCCCAGTTTGTTTGCTCACCAACGTACTATAAATCAGTTGATTTTTCTTTTATTTAAATTTGTTTTGATTTTCTTAATCTAGTGTTTATTTGGGTGGGGAAGTAACTCTATATCTTTGTATAGAGTCCTTGTCAGCCCAAGTTTTTTACCACGTACTCGTTGAACGAGATGAGGCTGCCTCCATCATAGAGAGAGGTTAAACGTTGATGGTGATACAGGCAGGCAATATTTGACAAAATGAAAACTGAAATGGCTAGAATTCCACTGTTGGCTTTGTTTTATTAGCATTAGCAAAGCTGGATTCCAACACCCATAAAAGACTCTTATATTTTGCATTCAAGTTGGAGTCTTCTCATGTGTTCTTCTTTCCCAAGGGCATCCCAAATTTAATTTAACATGCTACATATCTCTCTCTCTCTCTCTGTGTGGGCCGTCCATGACACATTGTTATCTCTTTATGTTATCTTTCTGTTCAAAATCGATGGTGGCGGTGGCGGTGGCAGTGGCAGGATGGAAGAAGAGTAAAGGAAGATGGTAGTGGAAGTGGAGCAAGGCATGATAAGACCCAGATGGAGAGGAGCAGAAAAGAGGGAGACTTGGATTGGAATTTGGAATGAGCAGTGGGAGTGGTGGGGCACTCTGGTTTGAATTGGAGTGGTAGTAATCAATCTAAAGTTTTTAAAAGAGGATAATCCACCCAAATCATGTGGCCCTCTACGTTTGAACCTTCTCGATGCGAACAAGCAATAATAATTAATATGAAACCTTGTCCTACGCCTTTTTCTTCTAAAGCAAAAGCCTTCAGTTTCTCTTTTCATACTATAATTCCTCAGTTTCAAATTAATTGATTGTGGTGACAAAAAAATTATCCCTTTCTTTGTAACTAGTAAGAGACAGTCCGTAGCCTTCAAAAAAAAAAATGTAAGAATGTAAATGTATAAAAAGAAATGGTGAAAAAACAGTGTGGGCAGAGATATATGTAGAGAAGTTCATAAAAGGAAGTGTCTATGTGGAGTTTTGGTGTAAGAGAGAATGCATGTGTATAGTATGGAGAGCATTAATAGTGTCAGAAATTGATGTATTATAGAATTTAATCCTTAAATTTGTTGCAAAATTGTAAGTTGAATTTGCAGTAAAAGTGGAAAAATAAGGTCAAAGTATGTTCCATTTTAAGGACCCATGTTTGGCACGCACGCGGTATATTTGTCCTGAAGGGCCCAAAATCTTGTCCACTTTACCGGCAAGTCCGCCGCCACGACAGCACGTAGCGTACCGACAAGTTAATCGCCGACTCCAATCTCCAAAACCCCCACTCTAAAACCATCCTAAACAATCTCTCCGTCTTCTTCTACTGCACATTTGTCTCTCATTCCTTCTTCTCTTGCAGTCACAAAAGTGACCTTTTTCCAGCTCATGGCCTTTTTTGTTATCGACTCTTTTGATTTGTGAACAGAAGGATTCCATCAAGCTCTCTCGATCCAATGTATTGACCTCTGTTCCAAACTCAGAGTAAAGTGAACTACTTGTAAGTTTGTAACTTGCTTGTTCCCTCCCAGATACTATCTCCCTTACAAACTCCGCCTACACCTCTGTCCTATAATGTCTATTAAATCAGAGGTATTTTCAGATTTTAATGCTTGAATTACTTCCCTTGCCCGAAGAAGCAAAATCCGTAACACTGACCTGTCTTTCGCCAGTAATGCTTACTTTTACTCGAAGTCCCCACCGTTTCGCTCCAAACCCACCTGTCTTTGTACTCGTGTGTTAAATCCATCGTTTGAGCTGCTTCCGGGGCCTTTCTGTATCACAACCATGACTCCTAATCACAGTACAATGGCTAAGAGCAATCCTCCGCCAGAAAACACAATGACCCACTTACAGTTTTTTAGGAAATTCAAGCGTTTGAACCCTCTCGAGCCCTCCCTTGCAATTCTTGGTTTCTTTTTCGTCACTATTTTGTTCATTTGCGGCATCTTTTACTTTGATTACCGGTCCATTGCCAGTGGGCTTCGTAATAGTGGGACTGCTTGGCTTGGTTTGCGTATTTCTTCTTCATCGTCAATGGTGGGGGATGCACTGCCAGGATTCCTTGATGAAGGAGGGGATGGTTGTGATGTTTTCGATGGGACTTGGGTTTGGGATGACAGCTACCCTCTGTACCAATCCCAAACTTGTTCATTTTTGGACGAAGGTTTCAGGTGTAATGAAAAAGGAAGGCTTGATGTCTTCTATACCAAGTGGCGTTGGCAACCTAAAAACTGCAACTTGCCCAGGTTTCTAGTTTCTTTTTTCGTACTATAGATATTTGTTTGGAAACCAAGATAACGTATAGAAGAAACCTTTTTAGTTCCTATTACGCGTGTTCTACGTTCCTGATAGCTCTAAGTAGCTTAGTTGAACAGAAATCTTCCGAAATTCTTTTTGGTAATTAAACCGCTTGTACGTTTCATTCAATTCAATTAGTTAATTATGAAGTCAGTAGAATTTGCATGTAAGATGGGCCTTTATCAATACTTATTACATAAGAGTTCTAGTTTTGTCAGTTAATGGTTCTCCTTTTTGGATTTCAGATAGCTTTAATTAGCTCAGTTGAAAGGGAAAACTTCCTCAAGTTCTGCTTTCTTGATGGATCCTTTCACATTTTTACCATAAATAATATATAATTGATTGCTTCTGTACTATTGATCATCTCACTCGCAACCACTACGCCTCCCTACCCCCACCCCCGAGGGGTATGTTTGGTTTTGGACATTTGATCAATGGTGGGTTCAAAATAAAATTCCTATCTTTTTGCACATACTTCTTCATCTTAAAGTTGTCTCACTGATTGATCGTTTGGGGGTGGGGAGTCTTTAATATTTTCATTATTTAAGTTGTTCATGTTCTTAATTAAGGGGCTATATCTACATTGATTAGCTATTGAATTTCTTGTTAGAGGTTAGGGTCAGCTTGTATTGTTCTCTGGCCATTTATACGTTTTGAGTATGTTTTCAGTAATCATCCAGGTGTGGTACTTCAACTGAATATTATTCTGCTCAACAGCTTTTTTTCTTGAACTCTGTTCTTGACTGCACCAGATCAGTGAGTATCTGACAATATAATATTCATTACCTTCTCTTGAGAAACAGGTTTGATGCGAGCAAGATGTTAGACAAGTTACGTAACCAGCGACTTATATTTGTTGGTGATTCAATTGGGAGGAATCAATGGGAGTCCATGCTCTGCATGCTCTCCTCTGCTATTTCCAACAAAAGTTTAGTTTATGAGGTGAATGGGAACCCAATAACAAAGCACTCAGGGTCCTTGGTATTCAAGTTTGAGGACTTCAACTGCACTGTTGAGTACTACAGGTCACCCTTTCTTGTTGTTCAGGGACATCCTCCAGTAGATGCTCCAAAAGAAGTGAAGATGACTTTAAAAGTGGATCAAATTGACTGGATTTCTTACCAGTGGAGAGATGCAGATATCTTGATTCTCAATGCTGGACATTGGTGGAACTATGAGAAGACAATACGAGAGTATTATTTCTTCCATATGATCTTTTTAATAGACAACCTAATATATGATTCTTTATAGTCTAGCATTCAATCCCAGGAATCAACATAAAAACAGGATTTGAAAGTTATCATATATTATGCATTTTCTTTTTTTGGTGTGGTATAAAAGATGATAATTTCATGGATAATAACGGGACATGGATTTTTTTTAATTCCTATCACTTTGCTTTGAGTTGATACCTTATCTACCATTGTCATTCGTACTCCTTTTTTCTGATTCATGTTGATTGTAAAACATTTTTGTAACTCCTTTGTCGAAGTGGGAGAATATCTTTTCCTCCCCCCTTTTGCTGCATTCATTTGGCGTTCAAAACAACTATTTCCTGTCTCATTAAAGGGAAAATAACACATTAATCCTTAGTAATAGAAGCCAATAGCGAGTGATTTAAGTGCAGCATGCTCAAAGCATCATATGATATAGACTTTTGCTTCAAAACGTTTCAGAGGTTGCAACAGATTTAAGTCTTCTAGTTCTTTGGTTCAATATAAAATAGATTTACAGTGAAAAGCTCTTATTTTCAAGCATCATATGGTATAAACTTTTACTTCAAAGCAAGTAACTAAAGAGCAGCATGTTCTTTGGTTCACTACAAATTTTAGACATTTACTTCAGTGTTTTAGAAACTACAGTATGTTTCTCATTTCATAGTTGTTGCATACAGTTCTTGGCATCTTGCATTTGGTAGTGGATAGAAGGTTGTATCTAGACCGATTTCTTGGCAATGGAAAATCTGTGATACTTTTCTACGTGCAGTTTGTTCTGATGAACCATGATCATATTAGACACAGACAGAAATGAGCTTAAAAGAATGCCTTTAAGTTTTCGTTCTGATTTTATGGATCCATTTCTGTTTTTTCTACCCATTTTATATGCTATAAGGCTGTGTTTGTGTGTTATATCAAGATTCTTACACTTCTCTAACCTTAGAATGGTTATCCAGCCATTTTTCGTTCTCAACTAACAAAACGAGTGCTTAAATCTCTAGAGTATATGTATTCTCTGTGTTGCTAATGCAACTATTGTAGCTCAAGTTATAAAAAATTGATTGATTATCCTGTTTTTTTCTTTTTTTTTTTCAATTTAATATTTTAGGGGCTGTTACTTTCAAGAAGGGGAAGAGGTGAAGATGAATATGAGCATTGGTAACGCTTTCAGAAAATCAATTCAGACTGTAATTGATTGGATAGGCAAAGAAGTGAACTCAAACAAGACTTACGTCCTTTTCCGAACCTATTCTCCTGTTCATTTCAGGTGCTGTTTTTTTGCTGTTATTTCATTTTTTCTGGCCTAGTAAAGATTCCTTTTATCCTTTTCCTCTTTGGATCTTAATTTGTTGCCACAAGTTTGGATACTTTCTCTACCATTTTGCATTAATAGTTACCAGATCAACGTCATTTTATCTATCTTCCAATTACTGAGTTCAGTAACAACAGTAACAATTTTAAGGTTTCGCCTGCAAATAACATTCTGCATTAGCAATTTTCAAGTTCAATAACAATTTGCATTAGTAATTTTTTAAGTTCTTTCCATTTTTCAAGTTGGAGAACATCAGAAATTGGAAATGACCAGTGGGAAAGTTTCAATTTCATGATAAACATTCAACATGCAAAGTACCGTCTATTTGCTAGTTTTGAAGTTTTGCCGTATTATAGATACACAAAACATGATGTCATGCTTGATGTTACAGAGGCGGTAATTGGAATGCTGGTGGTGGTTGTCACTTAGAAACGCTCCCTGATTTGGGGTCATTACTTGATTATCAGGGAACTCACTTTAAAACGGTTATAGAAGTGTTATCAGAGCGGTCAAACAAGTCACAAATGGTGAAATTGGATTTGTTGAATGTGACTACCATGACATTAAGTAGAAAAGATGGTCATCCTTCGGTGTATTACCTTGGGGGAAAGACTAGCCCCGCTTTTCTCCACCATCAAGACTGCAGTCACTGGTGTCTTCCTGGAGTTCCTGATTCTTGGAATGAGCTTGTTTATGCTCTTCTCATGAAGCGAGACATCGTTCGTCCTCAAGTTCCAACGAAACCTTGAGTGACATTAATGCAGGATTTTGGATATTGGTTCCTTGGTTGTCAACCAAACTCAGTATGACAACCTAACTTCACATTCGGAAAGCATGGCTTGAGCATTTTCAATTACCAAGCAAAGAATATTTCTTCCTTGGGTGAAATTTACTAGTGTTCACAACTTCACATGCTGGTATTTGCTGCAATTTGCCAAGCATTATTCAGGCGAACCACAAGTTGCTGGCGGCATGACATCAAACTAGGATCACACCCTTGGTTGCTGGATATAGGCTGCTGAGGCACTTGTTTTCCCAAGGGGTCAGAAATCGAATTGAAGAACCTCTGGTATGCGTTTTTTTTTTTTGACCCAAGCTTGATAATTGAGATTTACCCTCACTCGTATACAGTGTTTCAGATGTCATTTAGTGATACAAGTTTTCTGGATAGGAGAAGGAAATCTAGAAAGAGAACTGTACAAAACTTGATCTTTACACTATGCTTTCTGTGTATAAAAAGAGACGAAAAATATGATGTAAATTGGGTTTGTACTTGTAGAACTACAATCTGTTAGCCTATTTAATTTTCAGAAAACATCTCTGTCATACTACTTATATTTTCCTTTCCTTTTATTGCTTTGTGAAGGGGTGGTCCATCCTCTGGGAGAAAAAGGAAGGACTGAGCTCTGTCAGTAAAGCCCTTCTTCCTGTCTTTGCATACCCATTTGGGCATAGTGTTCAGAGAAGAATAAATAAGATTGTCAATAGATTTATTGAATAACAATTTTTCAGCGAAGCAATGAGGTTAGGCACCCTTCAGTGAGGACAAGTGTCGGTTTTTGGTCTAATTTCTGAAATGTTAAGATGTAATTCCAAGATTCTGTTTCTTAGACTAACTGCAAGAATTCCAAGGTTAAACTCGAGTCCTTTGCTTTGGTTTAACACAACGCACACAACACTTATTGCCTTTCTGAACATCATGTCACAGGAAAGCACCAATCAGGTGTCCTGATATCTTCATTTAAAGTTGAAAAAGAAAAAGTGAAAAACACGATCCCGAATCCCGACCAGATAAGACAAAGAGACACAACTTGCAAGGAAGTGAAACGAGTGCAATTCAAAGAGAAAAGATAGGATTGAGCACGCACACACTAGTTGGATGGGATCCATTGAATAGAAGAGAACGCATATGTTTGGATGGTTTGAAACTGAAGAGTCTTCGTTTAATCATCAAATGGGTATTGCTCGTACCTAATTGCACAGTCATTGAGCACCGCACGACCCCCAATTCTCATTTGACACGTTCCCAACATGTTGCTCTTAGCAGCGCCAAGACAAGTGGTGCAGTCTGAGGTTGTCAGATTTTGGTTACAGGAAACATGACCGTAAGCGAAGGCATTAGGGTAAGGAGATATGTTGTAGAAATCATATTTCTTGCTGCTGGGAGTTGAATTCCCCAACTCTTCCAGAACATAACTCAGACTCACTGCAAAAGGATCGCCCCCCGTGAATATTCCAGAGTTGCACAAAACAGACTTCACTCCAGTGTTTGGAACGCACACCACCATAGTGGACAAACCAAAGAAAGCGAGAAAAGCCGCTGAGATCTTCAGACTAGAATCATCCATCTCTTCTTCTTCCTTGAGTTTTGATCTGGTTTCAGAATGGACGACCTTTGAAGTTGAAACATAAGTGGGTCCAATCTATTTTCTTGGTTTTTTCCCATTCTCTGTGAATAGTCTTTCTTTTAAAAAAAAACATATATTGTCTGGATATGTTTATCTCTTTCTCTGGTTTTGACTTGTTCTCCCTCCATTTGTCATTTTCATAATGTCTCAGTTTTTCGAAGGAGAAACCAATGAGTTCTATTCACAATTTCAGTTTCTTTTGGTATGAGAAAAATAGTCAAATCATAGCTAATCAAAATAGTTCTCGTGAAGAGTTCTCTTGATTGGAGAATTTGCACATCCTTTTTGTCAAAGCCATGTAATTCCTTATTTGAGACGGACTTTTAAACTGATTAAGATTTCGTCTTCTAGAGTTTTAGTGATGGTAGAACAGTCCATGGTAATATAAATTCTGAGAAGCAATAATCCTTAACCTTGAAGATTTATAGCCGACAAATTACTCTTTGTTATGTGGTAGTCAACTAGAATGGCTCTTTGCTGTAATGAGTCATCCCAAGTTGAATAAATGAATCATTTGTAATGGAGCTAGAGGTCGAAAGAAAATAGGACAGATCTCACTTACCAGGAAGTTCTGTCCTTTTAGGATAGGATATACTTCCACTTTATCTCAATTGTTTTGCAGTTTGCAGTTTTTTATTTTTTTTATTTTTATTATTTTTTTCAAGTGTTATAAGGTTCCAGTGTAACATCATCTTCCGGAAAAGGAAAAGTACAGTTTTCTGAGACAAAACTGGATGGAACCAAATTTCACCTCAGTTAGAACTAAGAAAAGTTTTCAAATATAAAAGTAAGAAGTAACATATTTATTAGTATAAGAATTGCAGTTTATGTAAAACTCAAAAATAAAATCTTGCCTATACCAATGGTAGGGGAAATTGGGATTTTTGACCCCTTTCAATAACCACTCTGGATTTTTGACCCCCTTTTGTTTTTTACTTATTCATGACCCCTTCACCTCAGATTTCTGACCCCTAATTTTATCATGTAAATTGACTAAATTGCCCTCATTTCATAATAAATGCATTTATGATATAATGGATTTCCAACAAACCCACCAACCACCAACTTAACAATTCTCACTTTGTTTTTTCAACTCTAAATCACCACACACATGCAAGTCACGTTTTTTTTTCCAATACTCAAGATTTTCTCCACGTGATTGTTGGCCCACATTATCCAATCGATCGGTCCCCACATAATCCGTTATCTCGAATCCATTGTTTTCACAATATAGGTATGTCCATTTCATCATTTTAGAATATTGTACTTCTTCAAACTTGTAATGATACGAAATTTTATCATTTTTCTAGAAAAACATGTTATTTTATGGAAAACATAAATGAAGTCTAGAATTTATCTTGGACCGGGATTGGTACCGGGATGAAATTTAGAACCGAGTTTGAGACCGAGATAGAAGGTAAACTTAAGCCCGGTCCTTCATGTCCAGATACGACCGGGACCGGGATCGGGACCGATTTTTGTGGATTTTTTACACTGCACATCTAGGGCTTTCGAAGAAGAGGAAAATAATACGTAATCGGCGCCAGGGAAATGAATCGATTGAGACTAAAATCGTGTTTTTGAAAACTAATACTGAGGGGGGGGGGCTGATGTTGAAATAACCAAAGAGCCAAAAATGAGATCGAGAAATACAGTGAACATGAAAGGTCGAGAGCTAGAAAAATCGAGAGCTAGAAAGATCGAGAGCGAGACATATCGAGAATGAGAGAATCTTCATTGATTTACAATTA